TTGAGATAGAGTAGAGAAAATAACAGATAAACTATAAAGTTTTACTGAAAAAAAACTCTGAAATGCATTCAAGAGGTTTTAGGGATTACACAAAGGAAATTTGAGATTTTTGAGATGAAAAGTATTTTTAATTTGAACATGAAAATTACTTTGAACATGGAATATTCAAAACAAATACTCAATATATTCATGGAAAAATCTTTATTTTATTTTACTAAAACTAGAAATATGACTTTTTGTATGTGAAAGACTTGTAATATTAATGGAAAGACTGCCAAATTTCATGAAGATATACCCAATATATTGAAAGTTATAAGTATTAATTTTATAAAGACTTTAAATGAGTATAAAAGGTCACGTGACTCGGTCAAATTGACTGACCCTGTGTTGATAGAGTTAATGGGTTTGATTTCTCAGTAAATCAAAAAGGTAGGAGGTTCATATTTTGGATTCTTGCTGATTATTATATATAGTGTGTATTTGTTTGGAAACTGTAAAAACCTATTATTGAAGTTGTAAATTTCTGAAATTGAAAAATCAGAATTCAGATTCATCGTATGATACAGAAAAATGTGGATTAAGGATTTCTTTATATTCCCTTTGGACATGAAGAAGTTAGAACTTATATAATATAAACAAATGAAATAGAAATTATGTTTTCATGCTGACTTTACTAACAGGCATTGACAATAAAGTTGTTTAAATTTTGAATGTAACTGTAAAAGAATATGACAAGTGCAAAAGGGTTAAAAAAGCTGGTGCATGTAATTATAGTTAAAATATTTACACAAAAAAACATATGACCTCCTTTTTGGTAGTCCAAGCACATACAATGAACACATAATTACAACTGCAGAGGAATACTGCACATGTGTAAAACAACACATGTCATACACATTCATACCTCAAGTTTCACAGTTATATCATAGTTGAGATTTGTAGTCTGCTGCCGTGAAGATCTGGCACATACCCACTTGTCCTACAATACAAAAATAGAAAAATGGTAGTACCAATAATTACCTGGTTTAACATAAAACACATGGCACAATTATGATTTTAGTTAATATACACATTAAATTTATTGCTATCTGGTTTGGCTATTAATTTCAGTATGCAAAAAAAAAAAAAATACAGATGTTATTGGCTAGCATCCTGCATTATATATGTTATCTAGTTGCTGCATCAAACAGAATCTAAGTATTTACTGAAACAAAACACCTAACTGCTTCAAAATACAAATAAAAAGGTATTCCTTTTTTTTATCCTTTAGTGGTACATGAACTCTACAGAACCACTATATGCTCGTAAAATATAATAAACAAAATAATAAAAAATTCATCAAGCACAATGTATACATGACAATGAAGAATCTAGAACTACACAAAAATTGAAGAAAACAATGCCTGACTTGAAAGAAAATGTGAACTACTCATGGGCTTGGCAAGAGCAAGTTGATATTTGGATATTTTTGTTCACAAATTAGGTAATTATTAACGTGTCAGTATCCAACAGAGGAACAGTTAAAACACCAAAAAGAAGTGGAAATAGTTTACAGTAAATAGTTTCTTTACATTCAGGTCATTCTTAATGAGTAAATTCCCACTTCTGAGTAAATTTTATTGTTATAACTGCTTGACAAGAAGCTGAATCTGACACATCATAAATTATATACAAACTATCATCAGTATTACAATTAGTCCAAGTAGTTTCTGATGGGCCGCTGATGTATTCAAAAATAAAATGAATGATATACCGTCATTTATTTTTATCAGTTCTTAACACTGAATTTTGTAGCAGCTAAAAGTTAACATTTTCTTTACCTGAAAATGTGTTTCTGATAGATAATCACCTCCGTGCATAGATTAGTTCTTGAAGTTGAGCTCTTCTGCCTGAGACTTGCATCATCATCATCATCATAAACAGCAGTACATCGATAATTCTACCGATGCTTAGCTACCACACAATCATGAATTATTATTACAGGAAAATGGGAACAAAAGTGGGATCTAACACGCCATGAATACGGAAATGGTGGAGCACATACAGGCAGGGGCACAGCATCTAAGCCATGCATACACAAGTCCTCTGGGCGAGTCCAGCGACATCAGCGAGACTTGCATGCCACCTTATGAAACTACCACCTAAAATTCACATGAAATTGCTCTACTGTATGATGACATATCATGCAGCAAAATCCTCCACCAATAGGAGAGCAACATACTCCCTGCACAAAAGCTCTCTGTGCATTCATATGTGAAAATTTTCATTCTTTGATGAAGCAACCAATAAAAGTGCACCGGAAAAGTGTCAAGGAAGGGTGAGAATATGCATGGAGGTATCTATTGGAAATGAATTTTCATATAAAGAAAATGTTAACTTGTGATATGACTCACCTCTGTGCACAGTTTAGCTACAATCCCACATTGAGATAGTAGGCAATGGTGCAGAAATTACCTAAATAAGCCTCCGTTCAAGAGTGCTAAAAGGAAGCCCATAGTGTGTGACACCCTATGGCAACGGCTCCATAGGGCCACATTTGTGGGAGACTGCATCTCATCTCAATTAGGGTATACTCTTTGCTTGAGTGAAGGATTGGGAGAGACAAGAAGCCTGAAAGGTGTTGCAAGAATGGGCAGAATAGGTACATGACCATTGGTGAGCTTGCACATAAGCCGTTGAAAGGCCAATATGTGTAGTAAGGTGGAAACACGTTCAGACTGTACCAAGTGTGCTCACTTCCTCGACCATCATTAATAGTAGCTGTGGGAGAAGGGCACATGTGAAAAGTATTCATGCACAGCTCCTTGACCATCAGACACTAACAGCCCATAATAGTTGCAGGAGGAAGGCACCACAATAAACACAACTTCAGGATACTTATGAAACTACCACTCAACCATCAGACTCTATGGGCCCAACACCAGCTGTGAGAGTAGGGTTAATGAGTGATACATCACAGTTGAATATTAAGGAATATAACTAACTCTGCAAGCATAGTTGGTGAGGTCATGTCCTTGCAGGAAAAGGTAAAGGGGAATAGAGAATAGGTTAGATAGGTGTCCAAAATTCACTAGAAGATTGTGATGTATCTCAGATTGCGAGTCAGGCACTCTAACCACTTGGACATACTGTCAGTTCCAACTTGTATTGAAGTAAGAAGAGAGGCCCTGAATAGAGGAGGTGTATCAGTTACAAAAGGACAGCGAGAGGAACCACAAGAAGGAAGTGTATGACAAAGCACTGAGTTTCTCAGGCAGGACAACAGCACCTGTCCACAACAGAAATAACACAGAAAAGAGAAATTGAAAGATGAGATAAGGAAGAAAAGGAGTGACTACTTTCCATTACCATGGAATATGAGGGAAGAAAAGACTGACCAAGACAAAGGAAAAGGGAAGCGTAGTAAATAGAAGGTGGGAAGAAACAAGGGCATAGATATGTGTACAATGGCAAGTAGTAATAGGACTCATGTGTCTAGGGAGAGCAGAGACATCTAGAGGTTTCATAGGGATCTGAATAAGAGCATGGAGAACCAAAATGATAATCTAATCAGGCAAGATGTAGGAAAGGGGGCAGTAGATAAGGCAGGAATGAAAGAGGGTAGAAAGAAAGCAGAGAAGTAGGGAAACTGTGACATCAGGAAAGGCAGAAGGTGGAGGAAATGCCACTCTAAAGCTGAGACAGAAGATACTTACAGATCACAGGAGAGTCATCTCATGAAATAAGTGGAATATAATAAAATGTAATGAAATCAAAGGTAAATGGTGATAACAAGACCAGGGTGATAAGTACTTCCATATGTTGGCACACAGAAGAGGTAGAAGAGTGACATGAGTGGGACAAAGATACAGCTACATGATCAGGGAGGTGGACTGGACAATACCACATGCAATAACAAAGGGATGTCATATCCTAAGAGTAATTTGTGAGGGTGGATCAGAAGAGATGGAAAGTTGAGAAGAGGAAGACAAGACTGAGATATAAGGAGGTGGAGAAACAAGGTTGAGATAGCCTATGAGGGGCCATCAAAGGGACCCTTTAAGGTTGTCCTAAAACTGAGCAAGGACCTGAAGGAGCAGATGGAGATGAGAACATGCATAATAAAGGAATTGGATCTAACCAGATTGAGGGCACAAACAGCCAGAGCTGAAGAATGAGGCACATGAGACCACAACAAAGGAATTTAACAAAGAGGGGTGTGGCAAGGCAACAAGAGGAGGAAGACCAGTGAGTGAGAAACCAATCCATGGGTAGACACGGCCATATCGAGAAGACACTGTGTAATAATGTGCAGTGCCCCCAGAACATGACAAGTTATGAATACATTTGAACATAATAAACCTAGAACTATGCCTGAACACTATCTTCTATATGTGTATGTTATGGAGTAAGTAGCCATATCTAAACTTTGACTATGGGATACTTGGTATAAAATTAATGGTTTTGTCTAAACCTTATCTTCTAGTGGTATGTGAAATAGTAATTAACACGATCTAATCACAATATTTTATGTGGACATGTGATGAATTATGGAACTAGAATGAAGCATTAATTACAATATGTACATGCTACAAAGTAATGTACTAGAACAAAATATTATTGCCGATGTATGACATGTTATGGATAAACGATCATATCTAAATCCTATCCTCTCATGATACATAAAGAAATTAATCACCAGATCTAATCTTTATAGACTACGTGGACATGTTAAAGAGCAATAAACAAAGCAGAAACAATAGCTACTATGTGTAAATGCTAAGAAGCAATGAATGATAAAAAATTATTGTCTATGTGTGACTTGTCAAGGAGTAATGGATGAGAACTGAACATTATCATCCATGGGTAAACATTAAGCAGTAAAATACTATGATTAATCATTAAACAGACATGTTAAGGAGTAATGAATGAAGTCTGTACATCATCGACAAAATGTTGCAAATTAAGGAAGAATAAACTATATCAAAATATTATCTGCTATGTGTACATATTAAGGACTAACTAACCATGACTAAACAGTACGTACTAGGTGTACGTGTTAAGGAGTAATGAACTATGATGAAAAATAATTGAATCGAAGCACACATGAGAGGGACCACACCACTTCTGAAACAAGTATGTCCTGCGACCTTGAAGTGAGGTGTCATGAAACAGGCATCATCAAGGACCAAACCAATAATGAAAGGCCTCGGGAAACATTGTAGCAAGAATCTCCCCAACCCCAACTGGACAGACAAGGTTCCACTTCCCATTCTCAGTATTAAGAGGTGGAGAACAGTGCCAAAGAATCAATTGAGTATATACAATGTAAGGTGGCTAGGACAAATGGACCATGAACAATAGATGTGCACTAACTCCATCCATACATAAACAGAGTGCCATATTGCAAGCAACCAGAATTACAATGAGGAAATAAACAAACTTCCACACAAACCGTAGGAGGCAAGAAGTATACCAAACTGAACCTGGATTTATAGGGTATTGTGTGAATCTCAACTCAAGCGTAAGAGCAGGAATTCCTCCTGTAGCCACTATTACAAGCAGGAAAAGAAGAAGATCCACTCAACCATAAGAGCAGGGAAGAAAACCATGTGCATCCGAAATTAAAAGTAGGATGTGGAACATCTGCCCAACCATAGGAACAGGGTATTATACATTCCATAACCGGCATTACAAGATGGATGAAATCCTCTGTGCTCAACCGTATAATCAGGGAAAATTCATCCTGCAACTGAAATTACCAAGATGGGGGCATCTACTGGTCTCAATCAAAGGACCTGAACTCGGTATTATGAGGAGAATCCAGTGGTGGCTGATCCACCTCCCTTCCACATCAGACTTCCTGGAACAATAACCTAGGAGGGAGAAGGGGAAAAGGTTCCCAGCTTCGCACTCTTCTCAAACGAGTGTAGAGAGAAATAATGTTACTATATGTATGCTACACTCCAAGGAAGCTCCGTGGTCCACCACACAAGCAGC